GGCCGTCACTCTTCCTGTACACGCCCTCGCCCGCACTCGCGCACTCTGGCACGTGGACATCTCCCGCGCCGGCCACTATGGCAAACGTCATCACCGCCGCTCCCGCCGACGACCCGCTGACGCTGCTCGCCTCCCTCGCTGGCCCGGCGGTCGCGCTGCCGCACACAACGCCGTACGACTTGGAGTCCTGGGTCTCGGAGAGCGCGCACGTGCTCGCGCTTGGCGAGGCCGCGCACCCGCTGCCAGCCTGTGCGCTGCACACGTACTCGCTCGCGCTCGAGGACGCAGTTTTCTTGGGCCGCGTGTTCACGCACACAGCCGCGCCGGGCCGCGTCCCCGAGGTGCTCTATGCATTTGAAAAACATAGGCGTCCGCGCTGCGCGCTCATCCGCGCGATCGACACGGCGTACATCGGCATGATCACGACGCCGGACGGGCCGGCGCAGCAGGACCGGGACGCGATGATGCGGGCGAACACGGCCGCGAGAAGGAACGTGTTCGAGACGGAGGGGGACATGCAGGAGATGCTCGACGAGACACGGATGGTGTTCAGCTACGACGCCGCGGACGACGCGGACGAGTGGTGGGTCTCGTGGGGGTGTTACAGGGACCGCGCGGCGTCGACAGCGAGCATAGAAGTATATATATCTTAGATTTGTAGAGACTTGATATGCTTTCGGAGTTTTTTTTGCTTTTGTTTCCTGCAATTAACAGGCGAATCGGTTTCGATTTAGCGAGAAAGTTTGTTGTTTGTCTCTTGCCAAGTGCCAAGGAAGAGATCAGCAAATGCGCCGCAAAATTTCAGTGGTCGTTACCCAGCAAGAGCTGCCCGTCCCGCACTGGCAGCCAGGCGCCCTGCTGCTCTGCTACCCGCCAACACGTAGTCGTTTGCGCCAGCAGTCTAAGCCAGCCAAAACGGTCTGAAGAAAACTTGAAGCGCAAGGGAAGTGGGAAAATACACACTTATGATGGCCTAGTCAATGGCATGCGGCTCCAGTAGTGCTGAGTAGACGGGGTCCATCTACGAGAGGACATGTAGAGTGGGTAGTTGTTCGGTTCTCGTGTCGTTCGCCCGTTGTAGAAGCTGCACAAGACAAGTTATCAACTTCCGAGTCAACTTGAAGCGCCGAAAAGATTGGACAGCGCACCTTCCCGTTTCCCAGCGGGATATTTCATCCTCGACACTCACGACACCTTAGTTCAAGTACGACACATACTATTTTCAGTAATTGATGGACAGAAAATGATGAAAATTTACCCAACTGCGACACTTGAAGGCGTTGATGGCCAAGTCCGACACTCCCGTTTGGGGGGATTTGCAAGGCAATGTGACACACGGCAGATCATAAATTAGGATGGCAAGCTCCGCACAGCGGGCCCCCGTGGCGAACGGCAGCCCGCGGCAGCGTGGGGTCCGGGGCGAAGCCCTGGTCGGGGTCCGGGGTGGAAAACCCCGGCCGTCGCGGCCGGCGCCGCAATCTAGTCCAAAAAAGGACTTGTTAAGAGTATCCAAGGGGAAAGAGGGGGAGAAAAGAAGGAAAAGGCTCCGCGCAGCGGGCCACGCGGCGAGCGGAGGCTCCCGGCAGGGTGGGTCCAGGGCAAGGCCCTGGTCGGGGTCCGGGGTGGAAAACCCTGGCCGCCGCGGCCGGCGCCGCAACCCGAGCAGTCGGAAAGATCTTACACTGTCACACATTTTGTCCAAATCCGACACTTGATCGGCACGGGGTGTCGGACTTGAGCGTCAACGTAAGTGTCGCAAATGTCGTGTTTGATACAACCTCCCTGGGAAACGGTTTCCCAGCCATAGCGGCGGCTTCTACCTCGTCAAGCCCTCGCTCCCCCCAACGCACGCGCCGTGGCACGGTCGTACGGGCTGGGGAAACCCCAGCCTCGCTCAGCGTGTCCGCCGTCCGGTTCTCCAAGGGCTGCCAGGGAGGATTCTTGAAGTCGAGGACAACAACAGCAGCCGCGACAAATTACTGGCCCCACAAGATGGCTCAACGTGGAGGTGTCCGAGGGGAGGAGAAGCTGTCATGAGGGCCGTCGTGGTGGGGAGAGAAAAAGACGATCGGATCACATGCTCGGACCGGCGCCGATCTATCTTCTCTCACGACGATGGCGGACACCTTCCTTTTCGCTCGCCAGACACACTCGGGAGGCCATACGTCGTTTCCAAACGCTTGACGCTCAGGCGCACGGTCTTCGAAGCCAGCCGCGTCCTTCGCCTAACTGCTGACTCAGGCCCGAGAGGGGGAAGGCAAAACGGGACTGGTGTTCTGTGGGACTTACTCGAGGGGGAATAGCCAAAAGCCTCGCGTCTAGAGCTGACGCGGTCGGGAATATTAGAGAAGCAAAGCATGTTTGGGGAGGAGCCGTCCCAAACGACGCTGGTATCCAAGGCGCGTGGAACTTGGCCCTTGTTCTCGATATGGTCCCTAACATCCTGCCCCGCAGGCTCACTTTTCAAGTTGAAGCGCTCCGTTCTCCTCAATCTCTTACCACCTCCTCGGCATAATCCATGTCTGCGAAGGCCGTTTCTTAGTGCAGGATTCCGATATCTCTTCCAAACGACACACGGACGCTGCGGCATAAACTGGTCATGACGGATGGCTCGAGCTCCTATCGCTTCAGCCGCTAATGAAGCTTTCTAGTCCCATCTACCTGCGTTATCTATTTTCTCGAGTGTGTCATTACTACGCAGACTACTTACTGTGGAGTATATCTTGGCATTCAATGCGACACTTGTTTCTCTAGCCCTCGGTCCCGTTCTGGCGCAAAGATATTTCAACCTCATTCCAGCGGTCCTCAAAGAGATGTGCTTGTGGGACAGCAGCAAGGTCAGCCAGCGTGGGGTCACCATCAAGCTCTTCATCTTTGTTCAACCACAAAGACCCAACGTGCTCTAACCTCGGGAACAATGTGCGTAGGAAGCCGGTCATAGCCACCGAGCCCCCAATGCGTGTGTACCCAACATATAATTTCGTCAGCAGGCTGGTAGAGGGTCTAGAGGCGCTGACCACCGGTAAGGGCCCGGTGCTGCCATGCATGGGGAGCTCAAGGTACAGCAAAGCCGCATGTTGTGCCGCAACGACCAGCGCACGAAGTGTCAGCTGATTGCCTGTGTCTGGCTGCGAGAGGTAGAGCTCCACGAGCTGTTGAAGCTGCCTGAGAAGCCCAGCAAGCACGTCGTCGTCGACATCGAATCCGCCAGGAGCCATCAGTGTAATACTGGTCAGACCGGTGAAACACATGAGGTGAGTGAGCGATGAAGCGCTAATCTTCCAATCGCCTTCCCATCTCCCTTCCTCCTTCAACTCGACATTCATAAGTGTAAGGCTGCGCAGCGCCTGGACGGGTCCTGGGAGTGCTGCGAGCCCAGATATAAGCGCTGACGCAAGCGCGGTGGTGGTCGATAGTTCGAGATCGAGGACAAACTTGCGGAGCGGAGAGGTGCGAAATGTCGGCAGCAAACGGATAATCTGGTTGGAGTTGGTGTAATATGCACTGCAGTCACTCAATGCAGGAAATGACTCGTGTTGCGATGTGTGGCATAGACAAATGTCGATGCTGTTATTATAGATTGTGAGCGACTGGAGGCTCGGAAGCGAACAAAGATGGCAAAATGCTTGCTGATCTACAGGCGCTTCGATTCCCAGACGTTCTAGACGATGGAGAGAGCGCAGGAAGGAGCTGATTGATGGTGCAGGAGATGAGGACATTGACGCGTTAATGCTCAAGTCACGAATTGGAAGCTCCCGGGATGCGACCATGGTAAGAAGGGAGAGCGAGATATCGCCCAGGCCACCCAGGCATAAAGTGTGGAGTTGAGGTGCTAGCAGGAAACGGAGCAGGTTTGCGATCTCGGGGGAGTCACCATGTGCATCGTGACATTCAAGTTCGTAAAGGATGTACGCTGGCAGCGTATTCCGACTCCATGTGAGTCTTTTCAGGGATGGGAATATGCAGTCCCATGGTATCCATGTCGAAAACAAGGTCAGAATATAGGTGTCTGGTGTTGATGTGTCGCCAGGTGAGTATGTCAATCCCTTCACTAGCCGGAAGTACAGCTCCGGACGCTCTAAGTCACGGGGAACAAGTGGGCGTAGCTGATTCTGCAGACTCGTGTCAACGCTGAAGCAACTGGAAAAGTATACTCAGTAGTATTGACCACTGCTACCCGGCGTCCTCCGTCTTTTTTTTCTATGATCTCCACAAGGTCCAGTGGAAAACACCGTAGAAGATTTAGAAGAGGCCTGGGGTTGAGCGTCTCATCGCGCCACAGCTCTTCGAGGGCGAAGCCAGAGAATGACCGACATGTACGCGCTAGACGCGCAAGGTCCGGTGCGCTAGTGTCATCGGCGAGTTGTTGTACGACCTGGAGTACAATTTCTGGAGTCGCCAGGCAGCGGTGCATCGACGAAGAAGGTGACTGCAGTCCAAGATGAGCGAGGAAAGCAAGGCTTGTGGGACGTGACTTGATCATGATCAAGTCACGTCCATAATCAAGTCACGTCCCACATTTTCCTTCTCTCATCTGTACCACCATATGCATTTTGTCCTTGCCAAACTTTCTCTCCACTTGGTGCCGGCAACGGCCGAACCTACTGTCTGCGCTGTTGCGGCTGTCCCACGCCGCTTACATCTCTACTTGACTGACTTTTTTCATACAGCTTGCTCTTTCTCGAAGTTTTTGACTTATCGCGAAGCTGAAGGCTTCTGTACCACATAGTGGAACAATGGACGACAAGTGGGCGGATTCCTACGCAACCGGCGTAGAATAAGGTGCATAGCAGTCGTCTGCTTGGTCTCATCCTCTGATTTTTCTGAGTTTTTCGCCCATTCCATAAACACAGTCCCGCCGCGACAGGCCCTTCCGTCCTCGGCGCTGCCAATAGGGCTCCTGGAGTCCATTCCATCATACCTCCTGCCGAGATCCTCCCATATCGCGCTTGGGCTTGCGGCGCCATTGGGAAGAGAAACCAAAGAAGGTCGAGGACGTTATGCAACCCAAACCTAGACGTTCAACAAGCATTTCTTCATACATTACCCTCGCCTTTCCACCAACCCAAGCTTCGCCGCTTCTCTGGGTGTCGAGCAGCCTTGACTGCGACCGACCACCCAACCACGACCCAAATGCCTATGCCGCTCTCCAACCAGTGCTGGCACGCTTGTCATACACTACCTCCCCTCCGTCTTCTGTGCTCACATCCGCATTCTACTCCCAGTCCCCCGCACAATCGTCTGCCCTTCCCAAAATGACAAGTGGCGCGCCACAGACCGAAAGACTACCACCTATGTCGACAAACGCAGCATGTTCCGCCCGAGCAATTGTATCCCATCTCGACGGACTCTGGTACCTCTCCACTCCACGCTCTTGGTGGGCATATCTGGCGAGGAAGATCCCCGTTGCACACGTTTTCGTCGGGCCTATAGGTGGAAATGAGGATACAGTTCTTGCGTGCAGGCGCTAGAGAATGCTGCCCAACAGCACTGACCGTTTTAAGCCGATGATGGAGAGGCTGGCTATGCGGAGTAGGAAACGGAGAAGAAGCTGGTCGCTTGTCTGCATCTTATCTTTCGATATACTCCTCTTCCACCCCTCGCTATCATTATCAACAAATCATCATTTTTATACTCTCTACTTTTCGCGTCCACTGACGTTTTCTCTCCGTGCAGTACTAGTTGTTTGCACCATGCATGTTTCCCGTTGTGTGCGATGAAGAACAGGACATTTAGCAATGCACATCTCATTCAGGAACTATAACTATTACCCTCAAATGCGAGATACTGCGCGCGCTACCACCCTTGGTGAGGGAGATGATGCACTCGCCCGCCTTGGCGCCGGGGCTCGTGGCCTTGAGCGCGCCCGTGCAGTCTGCGCCGTCGTGCCACTTGAGCGTGATGGCGGCGTTGGCTGCCGCGGTGAGCAGGACGAAGGTGAGGAGGGTGGTGAATTACATGTTGAGTGTTGGTTCTACAAAGGAGGTCAGTAAGACGAAAGCTAGGAGTTATTGACCCACCAATTGGGTTTAAGTTGTTGGTGAGGAACTGAAGGAACACCAGCCACACAGCCAGATATTTATCCAGACCCTGAGGAAAGAGGGTAACCCGTCATCTTGGAGAGCTCAAAGCAACGCCCTCCCGCCTTCCAAGATCCAGTATGGCAATATTTGTCCAGCGTTTCGTCATCAAAAAAGCTCAGCTTCCGCATACTATTGTGCACTCTGGCGATTTTGTTCCTGGACGCCATGGCCAGCCACTTAGTTCTCTTTGAGACGGCTACAATGTTTCCGGACACTGGCGGGGCGGGCAACCATCACATTTCGCACTGGATCGGACTACGCGGGCGCGTATTCATAGTAAGCTTGATTTGGGGCTACAGCAATAAATACCTGAAAGGATGTGTTGACGTTGTTTTACTGAAGGAAAGGGAAATACGCTTATATATACGAGGAGAGAGATGCCCAAGATATGTATATGAGCAACCTGTTAGTATACGCTGTGAGTGCGGCCCAAGCACACTGGACACGAAACTCGTACCTCCATTAGCACTTTCGAAGCCGCAAAGGAGCAATAAACCCGTTCGACCAAGGGACGAGGGCCACAAAACGAGGGATTGGATCCCAGATAGCCTCCGACCATGATTGTCCCGCCGTTTCTGGCTCGATAAACAGCAGTAATAGAACAGGTGGGTTGTTTCCTTGCACTGGATACAGCTCCGCCGCCGCGTACGCCAACTACTGTGGCACAAAAGCAAAGAATGGGCATGAAAGCCTCATTCGCGAGATCATGTCCGACGACAGCCTTCCCGGGCGAAACCCCGGGCAGCAAGGATTGGGTAGGAGCGTTACATGGCCGCGCAGATGGAGGTCCGGTAGATGAGGCTCCAGATAGTGTGTGGCTGGAGTTACGAGTCCGCCAAATCAAGGACGAACGTGTGACGGTGACCGACGTGATATGGGAGGGAAAGCGATGCGAAAAAGCGGTTGTGCTCGGGAAATGGAGGTCGGATGTTGTTAAAATGCGGAGGGAGATGTCGAGATACGGTTATATGAGGGTTGTGAGCTGCGGCGCTGGGCCTGCGCCTTCAGCAAATCTTTTGAAGACCTTCGCCGAATCAGCACTGGCAGTGTGAGCGCGGGTCGAGTGCAGAGTCTGTCAGACGAGCTGTGGGCGTTGTGGAAAAGACGGGTGGGCAGAAGGACTAAGATACATTTCAGTCTTTCCATGGTCGACGCCAGCAAAATGAGTGTCCTGGGGGTTCGTGTCGTGCTGGTACTAGTAGGCGAGGAGAGAACGCTATGAGCGGTGCCAGGTTTTCCTTCGTTCTATGCGAAGTGGTTCCTTTCAGCAACGTAGAGACGCAGCAGCGCCCCCTTTATTGCCGGCTCCTCTCCAAATTTGCTGACGGTCGTGCTTGGAACAGCCCCCCCTACCCATCGCAGATTCCAACTATTTCGCGGACGTCGCTAGAGTCGGCTAGACCTTGAATGAGAGATCTAGAAGGGCGGGTTTTAGGCCGCGAACCTACTTACAGATCGTCAATGTGAGATACACTCTCCGAGAAATAAGATACACGCACCGTATCGTGCCACATATTCATCTGTAAGCCCTCTGCTCTGTCGGCTGCCGGGAGTCCAGAACGCTGGTTAAGCAATGGCGGGTAAGAGCCTGAGGTAAGTGCATAGCCTTGGTGGAGAAACGAAAGATAGTGGCAAGGCATGTGACCGTTTCTTCTTGCCGACGAACACCCATGTCGATAACGGCCCTCGCATCGTACAAGCTCTCTCTGCGCACAGTACCGACCAGCCCGGGCTCGACTAACAGCGTCAATGACGATGGATTTGGACATGCATACCGAGGAACGATGGAGCGTGATTACTAGTAGCTGGTTACGTTACTGGTGGAGACGGGCTTCATAACGGGGCTTGGTGAGTTTTGCCTCTTCTCCCTCTCCCCGAATCGTTCGTAATCTTGTATCCAAGGTGCCACAATGCTCCCCGCTGCCTCCTGCAAGCACATGCTCCACTGTCAACATATCTCGCTGGCCGCTTGTCGACCTTGTCGCTGGTGGTCGACGACCGCACTTCCATTTTCAACCACCTCCTCTTGCCTGCCCTAACAACTCTCCACCTCTACGACCCCGAGGATTTCATCGTTGAGTCCTCTATCGACCCTTGCATCCAACGCTCCGCTGCGACTGTAACCTCGCTGTCTCTCAGGCTCCTCACACCGGCCAGCTACACCACCTTCCGTGCCCTCCTCACCTCATACACGGTCCACACGGTCAAACATCTGACCATAACTGCATTCCCGATGACCAAAGGCGAGGAACGGACGTGCTCCGCGACTCTTGCCGACTTGAGCCTCCTCTCCAGCCTCGAATCCTTCACCCTCGTCATCCCCGCCTCCGCGCCAGCCCCAGTCAACATCCGTCCGTTCTTGGATGGAATCGCTATGCGCGCGGCGGATATCTCTTCCGACGATGTTCAGCGCAAAAGGAAGCTCGCGCGATTTATCATCGAGTGTCTTCCAGACAGGGCCATCCGCAACCTGCAGCACCTGCAGAGAACGTTTGGCGTCGAAGTTGTGATGCCGAATGGCCATCCGATGCGGAGATCATGGGAGTGCAAAAAGCCAAAAAACTAACGATATTGAAGTTGCTCACGTTTTTGTATATAGATATATAACAATGCTTCAATTCCTGGTTCATAGGGCCGACCTACAGGTCAGGCACCTCCAGCGGACATTCCCTAGCACCTCTGTAACCCCCAATCTTCATGATGAAACACCCATTTGAGCCCGGATACGATTCTGCGGCGCGAAGACCCCGTCCATATGCCCGCTGTCGCTGCCCAGAAAACGCGCTCGACGAAGACCTTACGTTTCGGATAAGACGGCCAAAAGAAAGAATTGAGTATAGAAGGGGAAGTTTGGGGCACATGGGGATATAGCGGCGCGAACCACAGCTCTTTTGTTGGGAGAGATACATCAAGGTCTTTCGCCAGGCTGTCGTCCACGTGACTTGCCATTTTGAGACGCGCTTTCGATTGGGTCGTGCGGATGGTGGAGGCACTGACAGGGAAGAGAAGGAGGTGGAAATGGCAACCAAAAGTGTAATTAGGGCAGCAGTAGCCTCTGCGGGCTCAGACAGCAATCCAAAGACCAGTCATGTGCCAGTGGTCGCACCAGCAGAAACATTGAAGAACGGGCTCGACGATGATCTTATCAGCCAAAATACGCCGAGAGAAGATTTGGGAGTGAGGGTCGTCATGTCCTGCGGATAGAGACATGGCTTTTAGAGCTCCACATGATGTATCCGCAATGCACGATCGTCTACATGTCTGCCGGTGGCTGCAGAGAAAAAGTGCTCGACGAAGGCCTTCCACTTTGGATAGGACGGCCAAAAGAATTGGATAGAGAAGGAGGAGTGTGGAGCACATGGAGATATAGCAGCGGGAGCCACAACTGTTGTGCCGGGGGAGATACATCGAGGGCTTTCGACAGGCTGTCAGTCCACGTGACTTCTTGCCATTTTGGGACGCGGTTTCGAGTCGGTCGTGCGGATGGCGCAAGCGCCGTCAGGGAAGGGAGGGTGGTGGATATGCAAGTTGGAAATGTGATGAAGCGACGGCAGCAGCCTCTTCAGGTTCGGACAGCAATACAATATAATGACCAAGTATGTGTCGAAACAGCATAAACTTGGAGCACAAGCTCGACGATAGCCTCGACCGTCAGAATGCGCGGGGAAAGAATTGAGTTCGAGGGGGGCTGTGTCTTGCGGAAGTAGAGACGGTTTGTTGGCCTCCACGCGATGCGTTCGCGACGCTGCACGATCGCCTGCTGGAGGTGACTGACTTGAGGCCAAAAGAGCGTAGAAGAAGACAATTGTGCATGTGTGGAGGGCTGGGGACGGACGAAGGGTATGGGATGAAAGGGATTGTGATTGTGTCGTGCGATTTCCTCGTCAGTGAACGAGAATCGTCTCTCGAATCTTGGGGGTGTTGGCTATCTTTTGTGAAAAAACGGTATGTAGAAAGGTGTTTGCAATGTATCTGCCCATTCTTTGTCAGCTTCTAAATCCATGTAGGGTAAAACCCAGTACATACTCGAGTTTGCGCCGTCCTTCCTTTGCGCGCTCCATAACCACATCATCATGTCCTCGCGACGACTGCCACATGTTGTCTGCAAGTCGGCGTGAAATGGGAAGGGAGAAGAGGTACGAGCGCCGAAGACGTGAGCGGCTGAGCAGTAAAAGAGGGGGAGGGGAAAGGGCATAGTCGGGCTCGGAAAGCACTGGTAAATGACGTTGGAAGCAATTGGGAGCGCGAATATAGCGTTGGAGATGGATAAATGCAGTATGTGTGGCGGAGTTGAGACTGTCGTGTCGATCGCTTGGACTAGTTAGGACTTCATCATCGCTCCATAGTTGCTGCACAGTATGATTGTACCGCGTCAGGAAAAGAGAGTG